AAAAAAAGAGCCCCAATTTCCCCCAGGCAAGAGGGAATTCTTGAAGAGCCGAAAAGAGGTTGTCCCCATCTCATTCATGGCCACCATTCACAATCAAATATCCCCTCGCAAACATGCTGTAGGTGTCGAATAGGAAACTACAAGTTTTCATTTTGACTTGAGGGTTGGAGGATGAGGAGGGGGGGATTTTTTCTCACAAAAGCACAGCCCTGCCTGTGTGATTTCCCTGTCTTAGATAAGTCAATTGGAAATCCCCACAGAGGCTCCACCCAGCCGCGCTGACAAAAACCCGCAGCGCCAGCCCTCTCCGAGCCACTCTTCTTCCTGACCTTTGGACCGTACGCGTGTACTTGTCTTGTGACAGCCACCATGGACGTCCACGGAGTAGCTCCCAGCGATCGCATGGATTATAACGACCTGGAGCACATGGAGCCCAAGCACGGGAAAGCCTTGCCGTGTCAAGACGACCGCTTCGACAGCGGCCTGGAATCGCTGAAGGAGGACGAGCTGGTGACCGACTTGGAGCACTTGCGCGTGAGCGAGGAGCTCGTTCACGACTACGAGCCCTGGAGAGGTGTCGTGACCGACGACGGGGACACGTAAGTGGACTTTGTCTCGACTCGGTTTGCAAAACGCTGAATTAAAATGGACTCGCTCGTGCAAGACTTCGAGAATAACTGCAACCGGCGGGTTTTATCCCAACGCGACAACGCTATGCATGAAAACCACGAAGGTTGCACGAAATATGCGTCGTGCGTTTGTTTGCGCGTGTGCGTCGACTTTTGGCTGAGCGAGCAGTCTGGGCGGTGCTTAAGAGTTGCGCTCTGCGGGCTCAGGAAAGTCCCTGGCCCACTGCCAATAACTGATAAAGCGTCAAGCCGCAACTGGTGGAAACAACCCGACAAAATTCCACTCTTGCGAAACGTTCCTGTTGCACAGGCGTTGTTCCTTATAATTTCACCGGAGCGACTTCCTCTGAGCCTTCGTTTGACTTGAGCTCTCCCCAATTTTCTGACAGGCTTCTCCACTTGGCCATCATTCACGAAGCCGCCGATCGAGCCCAACAGATGATCAAACTGTCCCACAATCACCCCTTCCTGAATGCACAGAACCACCAGAGACAGGTACGAACCAGCAACTCGCTGAAACCACCCAAGACGCTTTTTGCTGAAGTGAACAGTGGCGTAACACACAATAAATATGAATTGCAGACGGCGCTGCACCTAGCCGTGATCACGGAGCAACCTCACTTGGTGGAACAGCTCCTGAAGGCGGGCTGCGACCCGCGGCTGGCCGACGACTGCGGCAACACGGCATTGCACATAGCCTGCAAGAAAGGTTCCCTCGCCTGCTTCGGCGTCATCACCCAGACAAACCAGCGCCACCTCGCCTCCATCATCTCCTTCCCCAACTACAGCGGTAAGTTCGGAATTCTGCCAAGAAAAATATGCAAGGCTGGTTTCTCTGAGAACGGGTTCTGAACTGCTCTTCTTTGCCCCCCAGGACAAAACTGTCTTCACGTAGCGTCGATTCACGGCTACATTTCGTTAGTGGAGAATCTAGTTGGGCTGGGCGCGGATATCAACGCACAGGTGGGTGTCATCAAGTTCAAGTCAAGTTTGCAACGACGAGTCCCGTTTGGAGCAAAGTAGCGAAGTAACCATTCATTTTGGTTTATAGGAGCAATGCAGCGGTAGGACGGCACTCCATCTAGCGGTGGACGTCCAAAACCCGGCGCTGGTCCGTCGCCTCCTTGACCTCGGCGCTGACGTTAATTGCCTCAATTACGGCGGGTTCACGCCGTACCACCTCACCTACGGACGGCAAAACGACGACATCCGCCGGCAGCTGTATGAGAAGACGGCACAGGAATTGAGGGCCTTGCCCGACAGCGAATCAGACGAGAGCGATATGGAAGATCTGGACTTGACTGAGGATGAGGTCGGTGTCCATCAATGACAGCTGCTCACATGGCGAGCATTTCCATATTCGAGTCAAGGTTGTAAATGTTGACGCTTCTTTGACAGTTGTACGATGACATCAAGTTTGGAA